ACTGGATTAAAAATTTATTTTGAAATAATTATAGATTCACAGGATGTTGCAAAACAAAATACACAGAGAGGTTCCTTGCACCCAGTTTCCCTCCATGGTAACAGTTTGCATAATTGCCATTCAATATCTAAACCAAGAAATTGGCATTGGTACATCTACAGAGCTTATATACATTTCACAGCTTTATGTGCACTCATTTGTGTATTGAGTGTGTATTCATTTGTATCATGTAGATTCATGTTACACTACCACAATCAGGCTACACAACTGTTTGATCACCACAAGGCTCTCTTATGCTGTTTGATAGGCACAACTACCTCCTGTATGATTTTTATAGGACTAATATATAGATAACAATTTGTTCAAATGAAATGATAATTTGGAATAAATATAAATCTAAGCACTTAAAAACATCTTAATATAAATTTGTGATTTTAGAAGACAACCTGTTACAAAATACAAACACGTCTAGCACATGTAAGTTCTAAAATTTTAAAAAACTTGTGTCCTTATATTTTCAACTTGAAATCAGCTATGCATATTCAGACTTTGTAGGGTATTTAGTCACCTAGCTGGCCACATTTTTCATGGATATTTATCTAATGGCAATATTATTAAGGAAATTTTAAATGTCTTGCTCTGAGTTTAGAAATTTAATAATTTAAGCAATATCTATGAATATTAGAAATATTAGGAGTATAAAAAAATCAATTAGATGAAATGTACTTTGAATCATTGGGTCCTCCTTGCAGTTTTTATTCTAATTTAGCACATTTGACACTACATGTTCTTTTTTTAAAAAAAATTGCTTTAGAATTTAGATGAAAATGATTTAGAACTGGAAGGGATCTCAGAGACTGTCTAATATAAAATCCTTATACGGAAGATGACACAATGGAGGCCGAGGGAGGGGACACTTGGACTGGATCACAGCTGAGATGAAACTGTCTAGATCCCAGACCTCTTGAGGCGGGCCTGATGCGCTTTAGGTTATGTAATTAACATTATTTTAATGGAAATATCGATATGTTTATAGTGAGATATTTATTCTTTCATATTAGCTGTAAATATCTTCTGAAAGCTTCTCCACTTTTCTCCTCTTAAACTGTACCTATAATAATTTAGTTATCTTCTGCTCCATTGGACATTTTTCTTCTCTTTTGAAACTCTAGCTTGAACAAGAATTGGAGCTATCTCGAAGGTTATTAAATGAATCAGAAGGCAGCAGAGAAACACTTTTGTTTCAGGTAAGTCTATAAAACTATGATAATACGCTTTTACATTGAATCAGGATTGAGTCTCTTTCTCTAAATGTCTTTGTGAGAGGAAAAAAAAATTAGGTCTAGGAAAATTTTTTCCTGAGAATGTACATTAGCACACATAAGCAAAAGATGAAATCCTTTCAGGACTTCCAGAGAAAGCCACCACAAAACGCTGGCTGAAGTTCCCATTGTGACAGTGTATCTTGCTGATTGCTGCTACAACTTACTACTTATCTCTCTTAGCGTGAACGGTGTAAAAGTAAGACTGGATGTGTGAGATAAAATTTTCCCAGAAGCTTAATTTTATTCAAGGAGGCATTGGAGGGTAAAAGAGGAAGTAAAATATATAAAACATACCTTTGCATGTTCAAGTTACTTAGAATACATCATTGTATTTAATTCATGTTTTCAAGATGCTACCTTGCCTCTTTTAACCAAAGATAAGGCTTAATTTTTAAGCATAACATTTTGCAGTCCATTGGCCGATAACGGGAGTTTGTAGCTTCTGATATTTAAAGTTCAATGACTTTAAAAAACCATCTTACATACATTAGATAAGGGCATATGGGTTTCTAACTGCCTCTCTGCCTTGTTTAATACACACTAATTCTGTTTTGAAGTGTGTGTTACATAACTCACCTACATAATATGCTAGGTAGGCAAAGATGTCAGGTATTATAGATGTTCAGAAGGAATATTACATTTTGACAATTGGTGCTGAAAATACACCATAGCACCTGTTTTGTAAAACCTTTAAAAATGTTCACTGACTTTGTTCTACAGCCAGCGGTCACATGGAATTAATTTTGGCAGAGTTCAGACTTTCTTTTTTGAAAGTTTATGTTTGTTTCCAATTCTATTACAATTTTTTGGGGACTCTAATTTATAATCTCTAATTTCGGTTTTTGAAGCAAGAGATTTCTTTGTTCAGGTGGTCATTGTGATTTCAGCTGAATCTTTTACTACTGCTAACTTGTTTAGTGGTCATTAGGGAAGTACCTGCTATGTGCTAGGTAATTTGGTACTCAGGAAATATAAAGATGAACAAAATAGTTCTGGACTTCAAAGAGTATATAGCTTATTCAACAGTATTTATTGCTTTTTTATCTTAAGCACTGCTTTGATATCAAAATATGCTAAATCATGATCATTTCACTTGAATTTAACAAGCAATAGACCATGTTCACATGAAAGAAAATAGTTGAAACATAGAAAAACAGAAAAACATATAGTACTTACTTAGAGGTGGTTTGGGTTAATAGTAGTGGAGTGGACTGAGGACAGAGTAAGGGATTTAAAAAATGTGATCAAATTTTTTGTCATAGTGGACACAGAGAAGGAAAAGACATTCATTCTTGGTGGGAGGAATAAAGAAATGGAGCAGGAAACTGTTCCACTGTGCTTGGCATAACAAGGGAATTAACTTGGTTTCAACTTGTGTTTACAATAGCCCATTAGAAGTAAACTTTTTTTCCCAGGGAAATAATTTATAATAACCTGTAAGTTTAGCTTTTTTCCTGATCTTGAAAACTGATAAAAGTTTGCTTTTTGACTCTGCGTATTTAGGTAGAAGAACTGCGTACACAACTTACCAAAGCAGAAGGCGATCGAAAGGGTTTCCAGCAAGTATTTCAGATTTCTAAGCAACAGTCTAACCATGAGGCTGAACAAGGAGTTGACTGGAGGTTTAGGAGAGGTATAATTCTGACTTGTAAATGTGTGAGGTGTTTTTGGTCTTTCTTAGAAAATACTTTTCATTCTTAGAATTTCATTCGTTGTGTCATGCTCATGTCATCCTATTTCTTGATCTATTACAAAGTTTTCTGACAAGTTGATTGTAATTTAGTATCCAATTTTACTGTCTTCTCTGCTTGATTTCTAAGCCCACTTTGGTTGTCAGACCTGCTTATTCATGGAGCTTTCTTGAGCCTGCAAAAACAGTATTGGGCAAGTTTTTCCATCCTCCTGTTCCCACAGCTAAATGTATGTGTGTGTGTCTGTGTGTATACTTTGTATTTAAATTGTAAATGCCCCTCTATTTTTCACTTTCCCTTGTCTCAGTGTTCACTATGTGAAAAATTACAATTAAGACCCTATCTTTTTTGTTATCTGGAGATTGGTGACAAAAGCCAGTCACATTCTGGAGGTGGTCATAAGCCATATTATTGTCTTTTTCTTATGTGGATTAGGAATACTTTGGTTTAAAAAATGTTAGAATACCTTCTCAGTGGAGTTGTTAAATTGTGGAATTTAATTACTCTGGATGTCAGTTCAGGTTTACCAAAAATGGTAATATTGAGATTTTGTAATGGTTTCTAATAGGTGAGTCCAGATTGCTCAGCTTATGTATTATTTCA